TGGTTCCTTTTTTTAAAGAAGGAGTTTTGTAGGGATTTGGATTTGATTGATTTTGTATAGTTTTTTCATCAAGAGCTTATACTGATGAGTATATAAGAAGATTGATTTGTATAGGGAGTACGGATTGCATACATAAATGTCAGAGTATTCTTGGAAAATGGCAAAACCATCATAAATCTCACAGGGCCAATGAAACATGAAGATGACATGGTAATGCTGTGGAATGTGTTTGGTGAGATTGAACCATTTGTGCAATGTGTTGAACCATCTCAAGAATTTTTCTAGTATAATATCTTCTTTATGCAGATAATCAGTGTGGCAAAGGTGAGTTCAAAAGCGTTAAACTCAACGGCAATGGTGTAGAGTTAGCATAAGTACCAAAGGATCACCAAAGCTTCTTTAAATAGTCTACCTGTATGGGGAATCTAGAAAAGATGAAGAAAAGGATATTGGGGATGAAGTCCAATAGGTTAAGACCGTGATCAACTATTTTTCTGTTAAGTATAGCCTGCATTTTGAAAATGAGATTTGTTGCATGACTTTCAATGATCTTTTGTGCAATTAGCATTAAAAAATTCAATTAGCATCACATCATCAATATCATGTCAATATAAAAAATTTTTAAAAAAAAAATTTTGAAAATTTTAAAATGTTTTAAAAAATTTTGAAAAATTCTAAAATTTTTTTAAAAATTATAAAAAAATAAAAAATTTAAAAAATTCTAAAAAATTTGAAAAGTAATTTGGCACAACAATTGAGTCTCAATTAAATATTGAATAGCAAATTGAGATACATATGTAGGTTAGACAATAGCAAATGAAGATAAAATAAAGGCCATTGAAAGACAAAAATTTTTGGCAAAGCCTTGGAAGCACACAAAAGGAATCAAATAGGGAAGTTATTGAGGCCGCGACACTAGCCCAAAGCAATCCCAAACAAAGATTGAGTTCGGTATACGAATTGAATCTCCAGTCAAAGTCCATAGTTAGACCACCTTCAGAAGAAAAACAATCAAGGAACACAACAATTCTACAATTCTAACATTTTTAGAAATTTTTTGAAGTGTTTTTTTTTGAAAATTTTAAAATTTTTTGAAATTTTTTTTGAAATTTTTTTGAAAATTTCTTTTTATGTTAACTTAGTATTAAAGATATGGTATTAATTGAATTTTTTTATATGCATTAATATCTTATTAAATATTCATACTATATCAATGGGCTTTTTAACGATATTCAACGTTTGAACCATTTAATATACGAAAATATAATTTAAATATTAAATAAAAATTTTTTATTTAAATATTACATTAAAAAAAATAATAATTCAAGGACCAAATAAGATATTATCCCTTTCAAGAATATGCATTTCATGCAAATTACAAAACACGGCATGGTTCAGCCAATGCTGCACATTTACCGTACATGTCGAGAATAAATGCCAAGCATCTGAATTCTATCCAACCCTCTTACCACAAATCAACCTATCTCTTTCTCTCGTCTGATTAAAATTAAATCTTTCTTTTCAAAGTTATGAAAAAAAAATCCAAAAACCAATTCTTAGTCTTGTTGGTTCTGATTAAGGAGCAAAATTTCCTAAGCCAATTTGTCTTCAAAATAGCTTGTTCGGGATTAAAGGAACATGGGCTTTACATTGAGTAAAACAACAATTGTATCAACGTTTTGTTTGTATTCCTAACAACAACGTAAGATATTTGAAAGTCTTACACATTTTGGGATTAGTTTTTGATTTAGGGGTTCCAAATTTTCTTGTAAGGGCTTCAAATTTGGTTCTTTTGAATTTTGATGCTGTGATTTAGGGTGTGTATTGAGAGGTTTTAGTTTATGGTATTCAAATTTAAAAATTTAGGCATACGAAATAGCTATTTGATTATAGACTTGATTCATTAATTTTTCTTTTTTTTTTTTTTCAATACAGTGTCATTTCTCTTCGATTTTTCCCTATTTTTGGTCAGTCTCATTTATCCTCGAAATAGAACAATGGTCCGAAAGGTAACATTTCTGGGAAGTCTTTATGCCACTATAGCCAATTCTGTTTCACTCATTTTCTTTTTTCCGATTAGGCTGATGCTGAAAAATCTATTCACGAGGTATTTGAGGTAGTCGAGGGTGTTTTTGATAGAGCTAGAAACAAGGCAACAGGAAATTTCCAATCAAGGAGCCCACTCCAGTCCTATAGCTTCTGTCAAGGAGTGCAACCAGCCCAAGTGGTGCAAAGATAAGTTGGCCGTGCTCTGGGGGCAACGTATAATCGTTCCCTAATTTTAGACTGTTTCTAAGTGTGTGGCCACTTGACTTACAAAGTCAAGCATTTATTAGGACTCACAGGATGTCGATTTGTACGTATAAAAATGAAACTTTGGATACTTCTCCGATGAGTTTCAGGGCCTATAAAGATTTAACTTGCTTGATTAGCCACCTTCATATATACTCGGCTGAAATGACGTGGATCAACCAGAATTGCTTGAGTTTACCATTTTGGACACGCAATCCCTGAAACTTGTGGTATCTATATCACCATATATTGGAAATTTGAGCTTTCCAAAGGTGTTAAATCTTTCAATAATAGCTTCTGTCAGAATCAGGAATCTCTCCACAACTTGGACGTTCGCATAGATTGCAAGCTTGACTGTTGGTAACTTGTAAGCTTATTAGTTGGAGAAATTTCAGACCTGCTTGGCCAGTTGTCAAACCTGCAAATTGGTCGAATCGGGCAACTATGAATGATAGATCCTATTAAATACTTGAATGTGACACTAGGCTGCCCTTAATTCTATTTCTGTTTGATTGATGACTTTCTTGAGGCCATTTTTTTTCCTTTGTTTTTTTCTGTAAGTAATACAAAACATTGGACAATACTAGACTAGTTGGCTAACAAAGTCTCACTGTTCATTAGAAATCACTAATTTCGTGGGGAAAAGGGCGACTTGGCTGGAAAAACTCAGAGTTCCAAAGCTCCCCTACACTCTTAATTAGTTCTTCTTGGCGAACCAAGCACGAAATACGAAAACTACCTCGAGTCTGTAGTCTCGATGGAGCTGTCAGGCTTGCATTTGGAAGTGTCCTCGTTTCTTTTTCCTGTCTTCTTTGCTGTTATTCTCCTCTCATGCTTTAACCTGCAGGGTACTGAGGTACTTGGTGTAGCAACCTTAGAAGCTAAAGGAAATGGCACGGATCAACAAGCGTTGCTCGAGTTCAAGGACAGGATAACCAGTGATCCGCTCAGGTTCATGCTCTTGTGGAACAACACTTTCCATTTTTGCCAATGGCCTGGTGTTACATGCGGCCACCGACATCAGCGAGTCACCAAGTTGGAGTTAAGATCCCAAAATCTCATGGGATCTATTTCACCATATATTGGTAATTTGAGCTTCCTTAGGGTGTTAGATCTTCAAAACAACAGCTTTAGTCATGAAATCCCTCGGGAAATTGGTGGTTTACGTAGATTGCAAATATTGACTCTAAACAACAACTCATTTGGTGGTGAAATTCCTTCCAACATATCCGGTTGTTATGAACTTAGAATCTTTAATGTTGGAGAAAACCAGTTAGTTGGAGAAATTCCTAGTGTGCTCGGCCAATTGTCAAACCTGCAACTTCTAGGTTTGTACCATAACAATTTAAGAGGGAGTATCCCACATTCTTTAGGGAACTTATCATCTTTGGCAAAAATTTTCGTCTGTCAAAATGGATTGAGTGGGGTTATTCCCGAAGCTCTTGGCCAGCTGACAAATCTTGAAATTTTTAGTGTTTGCTTAAATAGAATTTCTGGAATATTTCCTTCCTTGATTTTCAACCTCTCCAAAATCAGAGTGCTTGAATTTAGCACAAACCTGATTCAAGGTACTCTTCCCTCAGATTTAGGAATCATTATGCCACATCTTGAATACCTTGACGTTTCTGAAAACCAACTCACCGGGTCCTTGCCTCATTCAATATCTAATTCCTCAAATCTCACAAGCTTTCAAGCTGAGTCAAACAAATTTACCGGGAACTTGCCCTCTTTTGAAAAGTTGAATAAGCTTCAGTCATTTGCCATAACATACAACCTTCTTGGAAGTCGGGGAGCAAATGACTTGAACTTTCTTTGTTCTTTGACCAATGCCACCAACCTTTATGTAATGGCTATGAGCGGAAACAACTTTGGGGGGGTGTTGCCAGAGTGCATAAGGAATTTGTCAACCAATCTCGCACTATTTATGTTGGAAGGCAATGACATATCAGGAAGTATTCCGGCTGGGATTGGAAATCTCATCAGCTTAGAGATGTTTTTTTTAGATCTCAATCGCCTATCAGGTTCCATTCCTTCTTCCATTGGGAGGCTTCAGAATCTAAAGGAATTTTATCTGCAAGATAATTTTTTCTCTGGGGCCATTCCCCCTTCTCTTGGAAATTTAAAGATGTTGAACCTGCTCGATTTAAGTCACAACAATCTTCAAGGTACCATTCCATCAAGTCTTGGGAAGTGTGAAAATCTGGTTCTATTGGAATTCTTTCACATAATAAACCTCAGTGGTTCAGTACCCCAAGAAGTTGTCGGACACTCATCCTTTGTCTATGGTCCCTAGACATATCTTCAAACCACTTAACTGGGGTGCTTCCTATTCCAAGGTAGGAATTTACCAAATTTAGGTAAATTGCTGTTTCTCAAAACAGGTTATCAGGTGTGCTTTCCAAGCAGTCTCGGTAGCTGTGAAAGATTAGAGACACTATTAATGAGTGGCAATTTCTTCCATGGCCCTATTCCTTCATCTTTGAGTTCTTTGAGAGGTCTTGCAGTTTTGGATATTTCCCACAACAATCTCTCTGGGAAAATTCCTGAATTTTTTCTCACTTTCAAGGTCATTGCAATTATTTGAATCTTTTCTTAACAATGATTTCGATGGTTTGGTACCAACTTGAGGGAATATTAAGAATGCAAGTGCTACATCGGTGGAGGAAACATTAAGCTTTGTGAGGCACACCTGAGTTCCACTTGCCACAATGCAACTTCAAAAGTTCAACAAGCAGTTCGTACAAATTAATAATTTCTATTATATGTGGGGTTCTAGGAATGTTTTTGGTATTCTCTGTTCTCCTTATTTTTTGGTTTAGAAAGAAAAGAAGGCAGCCTGCAACAACTTTGGCCGAATATTCACTTTTAAGATTATCTTACAAAAGCATCCTTAAGGCTACTGATGGATTCTCCGCAGAAAATTTGGTGGGTGTAGGTAGTTTTGGTTCTGTATATAAAGGAATTCTTGAAGAGAACGGAATTGTTTTTGCTGTCAAAGTCCTTAATCTTTTCAATCCTGGAGCTTCTAGGAGTTTCATGGCCGAATGCGAGACTTTGAGGAACATTAGACACCGCAATCTTGTTAAGGTATTAACAGCATGTTCAAGTGTTGATTATCATGGCAATGATTTTAAGGCTCTGGTTTATGAGTTCATGGTTAATGGGAGCCTAGAGGATTGGTTGCACCCCTCTATTGATCTGAATGACGCAGATGAGCCAACAAAAAGTTTGAATTTTCATCAGAGATTGAATATAGCTGTTGACGTTGCTTGTGCAATGGATTATCTCCACCATCATTGTGAAACACCAATTGTTCATTGTGACCTCAAACCGAGCAATATTTTACTTGATGGTGAAATGATTGGTCATGTAGGTGACTTAGGTTTAGCAAAATTCATTTCAGCAGATATGCAAAATCACCCAAAAAGCCAGTCAAGCACCCTTCGATTAGGAACTATTGGTTATGCTCCACCAGGTACATTTTTATTGATTCCTACCTTCTCTATTCTCATTCCTTAAAACTCTTTTTCTTATTTGAAACTGAAAAGCTACAAAATTAATTTCCAAGTAGCCATATATATATATGTGCCCTCCAATTATTGATATTTTTGATGAATGATTGGCAGAATATGGCTTGGGAAGTGAAGTGTCAATACGTGGTGATGTTTACAGCTTTGGTATAGTTTTACTGGAGATGTTTACGGGAAAGAGGCCTACTGACGAAGTGTTTAAAGATGGTTTGAACCTTCACAACCTTGCCAAGGATGCTTTGCCAGAACGAGTAGTTGAGATTACTGATCCCATTCTTCTTCAGGAACGAGTCACTGGAGAAACAATTTCAAAGTTTAATTCCAACGAGAGTAGCCAGAGACGAAACATACTCCTTCAGAGTTTGACTTCAATATTTGAAATAGGAGTCACTTGTTCTGCTGAATCACCCACCAAGCGAATGAACATGAGTGATATTGCTGCTGAGCTTTGTGTTATCAGAAAGAAGCTTTTTCCAACTCAGCTACATCAGTTAAGGCTAACTTAAAATGCAGTTTAATCAACAGGTATTGATGTCCTATCTCGAAGTTACAAGAATTTGTAGTCTGGAGCAAAAAACAAGTGTAAATTTTACATCATTTGCAAAGTATTCAATGCTGATGCGATGTTAAGTGCAATTTTGCTTGGATCATTTGTCAAAGTAATTTTCTGGTTTAGAGATTTACTTATTTCCTTCCGTTCCAGGTTCTAAGCGTTGATGGCTTAAATAAAAGGTGCCAGTTCCTGACTTCATTCTGGACTTGAATGGCTGCCATATTCAAGAGCATAAGTTACTGTTATATTTGTAGAATCCCCAACTTCTGCTGCAAGTAGTAGTCTTCCCTAGAAAGAAAAATAAAGAAGTGAAGATTATAAGTTCCAATGAGTATGCAATATGTTTCTCTTTTGTCAAAAGTATAATATTGAAGCCTATGAACAATTGTACTCTTATTGATCATATCTCTGATTCTCTTCCTCATTTTCATTTTGAGCTATTCTCTCAATTCCTTCTTTACTCGTATTTTAAGCTAGTTAATTATTGCAGAACCTCTGTGGTATATCAAGAATTTTTTGAATCAATAGTTTGTGATGTATCAGGAGTTTTTCAAATTAAAGTTTTGTGATAAACATCATGGATTTTGGTTGATGGGAGGCGTCAAAGGCCCCCATGATGAAGGAATTCAATACTTTTTCTCTCTGGGTTGGTAGATTTGTCATGCTTTCTTCAGGCATCCAACCCATTTAGCTCCAAGTAAACTTTGCATCTTTTCTCACCAACCAAGCACACAAGCGTAAGCTCATAACAATATGTTCTATTTTCTTTCTTTTTGTTTGATGTTTTCTGCCTCTATGGAGGTCGGCTTCAAAAACGGAACCGCATAATATTTTGTGTTCTTGTTGGATGCTTGTTACTTTCTTTCCTTATTGTTTGTTTTGTTCCATATATTGACATTTAACTTGGACACAAGTCATTAGTCACAACATTTTGAATTATGCAAACATGTACCAACGCAGTGCTTCTTGCGGGTTGCGGCTAAAGTAGACTCCTCACCCCTCACCCCACCCAGTTTCCTCCGCTCAATCTTAGAAAATTTTCAAAGCCATTCTTTCGCTGTCACTGACATGAGAATAGCTCAGTTGACAATTTCTTGTAGGGTACAGCTCCAACAGGGTTCAATGTGTGAACAGGAAAGCAGCCTTTATATTTTCTGTCAAATTTGCTAATAGTTCCTTGATTAAACCTGCATGGTTGCACTGCGCAAGTGTGACGAGGAAAGCAACACTTATATTTGCTGCAAAGCGTTTACTTTTCCTCTTTGTTCTATGTAAACATAGAAAAACACAATTTCAGATTCTCAGGACTCAAGTGAAATTCGAACTTCTCAAATGTGTACAGGATTTGTTGTAAATTTGTAATTACAAAAGAGAGTATCATTTATCTCATAAAAAATAACAAAAGCAGCATAACAAACCAGCAGACTAATTGAAAAGAAAAAAGACTAGATCAAACAACACCAATGGGCATCATTAAAAGGCTGCATTATCAATAATTAATTTCCTAGCATACAAAAAAGAAAGAAAAAAAAAAAAAGAAAAGAAGAGAAATTTGAAGATCCCTATAGCATGAGAGTCACCTATCGACCAATAAAAACAACAGAATTGGAGATCACTGGCTTGAATGAACTAGATGGAGAGATAGGTATATCAGAGGAGAGAGCTGACATCCCTTTGCAAAGATTTGGAAATGGTGCCTCAAAATTAAGAACTTGTAAGGCTTGCCTTATCGATGGTCTAAGATTGTGAGTCGGGTGAGCACACCACAATCCAACAATCAACAAGCGCATCATCTGTTCCATGTCAAATTCCATGCATAATTTCTCATCAGCAACTTCAAGAAGTCTTCCATTTTCATATAAGTTCCATACCTGAGCCGTCAGCGAAATATGACCCTCTTTCCTTTTTGTCTCTATGGATCTCCTCCCACTTGCAATTTCTAATGCAACGACACCAAAACTAAAGACATCTGATCTTTTACCAACTTGTCCTGTGCTAATATATTCTGGTGCCATGTAGCCAAGCGTTCCAGCCAACCCTGTTATCTCAAGTCCTGATTCCTGATTCATAAACCTCGCCAAACCGAAATCCCCCAACTTGGCATTGAAATTTGAATCCAACATGACATTACTTGATTTGATATCTCTATGTACTACACATTGTTCTGATTCTTCGTGAAGATAAAGCAATGCCGATGCCAAACCAAGGGCTATCTTGTACCTCAGTGGCCATGAAAGCAGATTTTGACCTCTGAAAAGATGAGAATCCAAGCTGCCATGGCGCATGAGCTCGTATACTAGAAGGAACTCACCCTTTTTGTGACACCAGCCAATTAGTTGTACTAGATTCTTATGTCTCAATTTACTAATGATTTTAACCTCTGATATATACTCCTTTCTTCCTTGGTTTGATATTTTAGATACTCTTTTAACCGCAATGCTTAGATTCAGAACAGGCAGGAAGCCTCTATATACTGCCCCAAACCCTCCTTCACCTAGTTTCCTTTCGTCCGCAAAGTTATCTGTAGCTTGAACCAATTCAAAATAAGAGAACCTCCTTGGCCCGCTTTCGTTTTCGAATTCATGGTCAATGGAATCATCTTGTTCGAAATCCTCTTTTTTCTCCCTTTGAGTTATTTTCCTCATAGAGAATACCGATATTGAAATTATACCAACAACAACTACAAAAAATCCACCAACTATACCTGCTACTATTAGTCCAACATGTTGTACTCCTCGGTTATTTGATGATGACAAATCTGTGGAATTGAATTCCCATGAAAGAATATAGTACACCTCAGTGAGACTACTAGATGCAGATGAGAATCCAATGGTGACCTTTTCTGGTAGGACTTCTGATAGATTGACTTGATATGAAATACTAGAATTCTTTCCTTTTATAAAATTCGGGCTTTCATGGAAAGTCAGAAACACACTTAAATTGCTTGTTTGAGAATCATAAGTGATCCTTACCTTTCCTTTGCTTCCCTTTTTCATGCTTGTATCCCAATTCAAACTGGCTGCTGATGTGATGGAGTTGATATTAATACCAACATGAGCGTTACTAATAGGATCCCACTTATTCGGATTAGTATCAAACTCAACAGCAACCATTTTTGATGTGTTGAAATTGGAACAGTTGCTAATTAGCCCCATACATCCATCGTGAACATCATCTGAAATGCTTGAGCCATTAGGTGCAATGAAGAACGCAAAACCATCGCCTCCATCTTGCTGATTGAGTGACCACATCTTGAAGGAGAAATTAGTAACAAAATCTGCTGCCTTACCTGTGACATGATCCCACAAACGCATTTCTTTAGGATATATAGCATGACCAACACTAAAATTAAGACTATCTTCATCGGCTAGACATTTGGTGAGGGCTACTTTTCCACGAACGATTTCAGCATCACCACTTAAATTCAACCTCAGGTTAGAGTCTGAGAAATTAGGATAGTTGAAAATTAGTGCATTTAATGAAGGAAGGACATGAAAGAAGATGAAAACGTATTGGAAATAATGAAAATGATGAGCGTGAAAGCTATAGTTTGCCATATTGGGGACAAAGAAATGTTAGCTTCTAGCTAGTTTCAAGGTGTTAGCTTCGCAGTAATTCTTCCATGGATATATATAAGCGTGTCTCTAGCCACTAAACATTGCATTATTTGCGTGCATTTTGATCTGAAGTGTGGAAATGTGTAAACTTTGACTTCTAAGAGGTTTAAAATTTTAACTTTACAATTTAAGCTTTCAACAAATTATATCTTTTCTCTTCCTGTATGTCAACAAAATGCTTCCAAGTTTTTTGTTCTTTTTTTTTTTTTAATACAAAAGCATCTTTCAGATTAGTTGGATGCATAAGAGTACATAAATAGTCATTTGTTCTAATTAAGGACTTGTTTGCTGTATTTTTTATTAAAACTAGGATTAGGACTGAAGTGTATTTAATTCATTAAGAGATAAAACAAGTTGTATAAACAGTTCTCAGACGATATCTCAATAGTTAGATTTTGGAATTTCATTTAAAAATCTTGAGAGGGGGTTAATTGTTTAATGATTAACTTCAATGGGGTTTCTTCTTCAAAATAAAAAAGTTCAATAGGCGTTCACATACAGAAAAAACAGATGATCTAAGAGCAACCACATAATATCAAAAGCCAGAAAACGAAATAATGGTATGTGAATGAAAGTGAAAACATAATTGAGAAACAAAATCCATTTTAATCTTTTATGTATTTTTACTCCCTTAATCACATTATTTTTGTTCATGCATTTTTTTAATGTTTCAAAACAATGTTATCTTTAAAAAAAAAATTAAAACTTTTTTTATATATTTTAAAATTATTTTTCATGATTTTTTAAAAATTTTTTGATATAAAAACCATGAAACGTCAATTTTTAAAAATAAATATTAAATATTAAATACGTCAAAGTTAATTTTTTTAAGCTTTGTAAAAGTAAAAAAACCTAATAATAATTTGAAACGAAAAGTGTAATAATTAATTAGAAATTTATATTTGTCTATGTTATTTGTTTGTAATTTGTTTCTTTGTTTCATCTTTGACTGTCCAAATTTCATTGAACATAAACCATCACGTATATGCACTCAAATCCATTATTTTTTGGAACAATCCATCAAAATTTCATTACCTCAAAATAAACTACATTTTCCTAGAAAACCACTAAGCATTGATTTGTTTCAACGTCAACATATGAATCCGGCCGATGATAATTCATCTTTTCATTGAAAATTTGACCGAATAAAGCCTTGATCTTGTCTTGTATTAAAAAAGAGAAATGTTAAAAAAAATTCAGTATGAAAAGCGGGGCCGCAACAATCACCTTTTGTATGAGATGACTAATCAGGCCAGAATGTACTGACAGAGACAGGAGCTTGATGAAAGTATTTGACTAATTTTTTTAACCTGGCTATCTGAACCTTACTCGAAGAAGATAAATCATTCTCGCTAAAACTCGATTAAATTCAAGTTCTCACATAATTAACAACAAAAAATGTTCTAATTAGAAGTTTTTGAAACTTATTCTTCCTCAATAGCATAGGGTTCTAATAAAGATAAAACAGATTAATAAGAGTCAATAAATCGAATTCTTCAATAAACTGCACCTTAATCTTTCATAGTACAATTAAAATACAGAAATTAGAAGAAAGAACAGAAGCAAAGAAGAAATATCTTCAGGCAAACAAAGTAGTTAAAAAAAACTAAAAATAATTTCAAGCTAACAAAGAACTGAAGCTAACAAACAAGAAATAAAAATAAAGAATATTTTTTGAACTTGTAAAACATGAGAGAGAAAATAGGAGAGACTTTTAGAGAGAGGAACATTATCTATGGCAGAGGTACAGTCAAGTAACTTGGATCATCTAAGCTAGCGGAAGTGTCTATGGTTTTTATCCTCTCTCTTCAAAATTAGTTCATCATGATGTGTATAGTCAACATTTTTATATCTCAATTATTCTCATTTTATGTTTGATGTAAGATTGAAGTATTTTATTTATTTTTCTTTAAACTATTTGATGTGACATTTTCTCTTATTCAATCTCGTAATATTTTTGTTACGGAAGTTGATTATCATGTTTACCTTCTTTAAAATGCCTGGCATGAATCCAATAGTTCAGAGTCTATTTTGATATCACTTATTACGTAATTATTATCTTTTCTCCTCAAAACCAACTTATGAAGATGTATAACGTCAATGTTTTTATACTCAAATAATCTTTTTTTTATGTCTTATGTGAGATTGAAGTACCTTGCTTACTCTTTCTTGAAGTGCTTAACATGGCACAAATATCACTTCAGGAATAATCAATACAAGGCTGGCTTTACACAGCTTTTATTGATAATCTCATTAAAAGGGTAACCCGGCTAGTTTTACGGATAGCGATGTCAAAGAATTCTACTTCAACAACGTTTTTCACGCTGCTGCATGCCGTGAATTTTGGGGTTCTATTTCTTATATGCATCCAATAAGAACTAAGAAGACAGCTGAACACATTTGTTCCATTTCCTTGATGAATTCAATTAGGTATCTCTATTGATCAGACAGCTTGCTGGGTTTACGGGCTAAATTACACTTACGTTGAGCATTGGGCAAGATATTTTATTAATAATAAAATACAATTTTATTTAATTTTAAAATATATTTAAAATATTAAAATAAAATAGTATAATAATAATAATAGGTCTAAATAAATTTTAATGGGCGAGTCGGATGTTGGATAAGTTGTTAAAGGTGTCAACTGCTTGGAAAAAACAAAAAGTGTCAACTGAGCCCCACAGCTCCGTGTAAATACATCTCCAGGAAGGTTCCATGATTGACTTCAATTTTCCGTCGAAGTGGCTAACACGGCCTTGGTTGCATCGAATTCGCATGGTTGGGCTGTTAAGTGTGAAGACGGAAAGCAGCCTTTAATTGCCCTTTTTCTTTTTAGGCACAAAGACAAAATAGCATGATTCAAACTATCATAATTGTTTCGAGACCGTTGAAAAAAATTTTAAAATAAAAAAAAATAAAAAAATTGTCATTAATTTTTTTTATTAAGTATAATTAGTTATTTAAAAATTTTATCTTTTTTATAAAATAATAAAATAGATTTAAAGTTTATCAAAAAGATAATTTTTAATATATGAAAATAAACTTGGATTTAGAAGTTTGATTACGTGTGGAAAAGAATTAGCACCCTCACAATGTCTATTCAAAAATGGTACAAATTAATTATGTGTTATTTTTATTTTGGATAAAAATGATTTTAATTTTGGATAAAAATAATTTTAATTTAAAATTAATAATAATTCCCTTCACTTATGAAAAAAAAATATAATTTTATAAAAAATTTTTATTTAAGAATATTAAGAAAATTTTTAAGTTCTCTAACTTTTGGGTAAAATTTATAGATAACTCTTTTCATTTAAGATTTATCACAACATTCCTTAAAATAAAAATAACATTCTTTGTGAATAATAATTTTTGGTGACTATTCGACATTTAGGCAGAATATCAAAAATTATTTTCCTTAGAATGTTAATTTATTTTTATTTAAAAATCTATTTTTGAATAATACTTTTCATAAAAAATATTTTATGCAAAAAAAAAAAAGATGATACTACAATTAACTAAAACACAACAGTAAAAGGCATAAATATATGAAATGAATACAAGTAATAATAAATAGATGCATATATGCCAATGGATGATATGTATGATGATAAAATGCAATTTTGAAATTGAGTTTTTAAATATAATAAGACCACTTGGACTCTCAAACTTCTAGGCAAAATTTAGAAGTGACTATTTATATTAAAAATCTTTTTTTTATTTTTTTCTTTTATTTAATCTGATTATTATTAGATTAAAGAATTACACAAAAAGCTTGGTGAAATAAAATTTCTTAAGTACACCATTTTCTAGGCAGTATTCAGAAATAGATTATTTCATATGAGATTTCATATGAATAGTTAAAATTTTAGGATAGTTTTGGGATTTAGCTAGTGAGCTTTCAGAGTCTAAGGTTTCGTTTTAGGGTCTAGGCAATTTAGGTGTGAGTTATATTTAGGGTTTGGCTAGCTTTTAGAGTTTGAGGTTTCGTTTTTGGGGTTTAAGATTTCTATGGTTTTTTAAGATTTTGAGATTTTAGGGTTTTAGGGTTTTAAGGGTTTTTAAGGTATCGAGGATTTTAAAGTTTTGGAGTTTAGGTTTTTTAGGATTTTAGGGTTTTTTTTCTATGAGAAAAAATGAAATTGTTGTTAACGCAAATTTTTTTAATCATTTCCAACATTTAGGTGGACTTTTATATTAAATTTGATTTTCATAATTCCTGTTTTTTCCTTAATAGTTTTATACTAATGCAATATGAAACAAATAAATTATGCCAATGAAAGATAAGAATTAGAACAACCAATTTAATCAATTTTTTTACATATTTTATTCCTATTTACTTATTTCTTTTCATTTCCTTTTTTAAAAAAAATTAAAAGTGAAAGAAATTTTATTTATAATTTTTTGGTTTGTGAACGAAATTTATTTTATTTTTAATTTTTAATTCTCCAACATTTAGGTAGAATTAAATTTTTAAAATATGATTTTGAATTCCTTCCAACATCAAGATAAGGTCTCTCAAATCATTTTTTTAAAATTATTATTTTTTTATTTCCAAAAATAATCACTTTAATGTAAATTATTTTTTGATTATTTTTGAATTTAAAATTATTATTATTATTATTATTTATTAGGAAACTATTATCATTTTTCATTCATTTCATTTTTCATTTTTTTTTTCAACTTCATTAATCCATAAAAGACTTATTGTCAAAAAGCATAAGGAAAATAAATATGTACAATAAAATAACAAGATAAAAAAAGGGTAGAGGATGTACCAAATTGGGTTTTCTTTAGGTTTGAACCCAAAATCAACCAAATATGAAAGTGATTCAAGTTTGTTGGGCTCTTCAGGAATTGATGTGCATTGCCTCTAGTAGTAAACAAGTTGGTTTAGGTGTGAAATGGGTACGGATCGGGTCAACTAGATCCATTTCTTT